TACATACATACATACATACATACATACATACATACATACATACATACATACATATATACCCATGGCATTTAGGGGTTGAAATGACACTAAATTATCTCTTAAAACAACATGGGGTTTATGAGGGGGTCCCTGGAATTTTTTCGCCCTTGTAAGGGGTCCCCAGACCCAAATGGCTTGAGAAAGCCTGCTTTAGGGAACTTTTTCCAAATAATTCAAAAATTGAAATGCCTACAAAAAAAAAAAAAAACAATTTAAAACATTCCTGTTTGAGCTCAGTTGTTAAACAGGCACAAAGTACGTGAGTGCACTCGAATAAAAAAAAAGAAGAAACTAAACAGGAGAAAAGCTGAGTGCTAGTCTGAGCTCACTTTCAACAAGGTGTTTCAAATTGTCGACACTGAATTGAAACACCAGCGCTTCTAGACATCCATCTTGTTTTGCATCTGGCAACCACACAATCTATATAGTCTTTTAGCAACAACTTACTGTACGGTGAAATAAACAGAATCTTTATCATTAGTGTCAATAGATTAGAGAAATTCAGATAACTCACTTTGGCAGCATAGAAGAGTGGACCAGAGTCTCTGAGGGGAGCCTGGGGGATGTAGGATCCTCCTGGAGTGGGGGTGGTGTAAAAGCAATTAAGGATGTCAGTTTTGAACAAAACCTTATAAAGATATAGAAAACTTAGTGCACATTTTAAAAGAGCTAAGTGTTTCAGAACTGCAGTCACACCAAATGGAGAAAACAATGAAAAGTTGGAGGAGAAACAAAAACAGACAGGTGATGGGCAGATGCAGAGCTCATTTACCCACAGTCTCTCTACAAAGCCAATCTACAGAAATCATTCTGTAGAAATACGTCAATGTCTTAAATCACACTCATACTGATGGGATACACATCAGAAGTGGTGGGGCTTCAGTGTCTAAGACACTTCAACATGTGACTTAAAAAGTAGTGTCACTAATGCAACTCTGTTAAAGACAGTAAAACATAATGTGTTGATCACACCATGTATCATCTTATATTCACTAGTTACATGTAATCAGGCACAAAGTAGTGAAAGATTCAAGCTGAAAGTGCTTTTAAAAATAAAGGAAAAACAGTTTGTGTTAACTGTGCAATGTTTCAACTGCGAGAGATTAAACTAATGGTGTTCCAGTGGGCCCAAACAACCCGACCAGCAGGGGGAACCAGGGACTTTGGGATTTATCCATTTAAAAACTAGTCATGAGGAGCTGAAAGTAAGAAGAGGGATAAATTGAGATCAAGTGGCTGGCTCAGTTGGTAGAAATGTTGCCCCTCAGTAAGAAGGTCACCAGGTTGAATCCAGGTTCTCTTCATGGATTAGGCTTATTGTCAACTTTAAATTGTCCCTAGCTGTGAGAGTGTGAATGGTTGTCTCCATGAAGCCCTGTGATGGACTTGCGACTAGGGATGGGTACCTTTGACATCTGAATCGATTCGGTACAAATATCCGGTACCTGGGAATCGGTACCGGTACTTAACTGTACCAATTTTCAGTACTTTGTGTGTGTTGTTTTTTCAATAATAAACTTTTTTTTAACATATTTCTCAATATCAAATTTAACAAATAAAGACAATATCCAACTCTTTGTATTGTAACATCATTTTTTAATCTAATTTCTTTAAAGGTGAAAACTCTTGAAAACAACTAACGTAGTGTTTTGTTTTATTGCACAAATTAAAATCCAGCTCCACGTRTTTCTATTGATGTCATTTCCCYGCYAGAAAAATTGTGTGATGGAGGTCCATGGAAGGCAAATAAGTTTAAATCAAATAAGCAAAAGAGGATTGAGTTAAAATAAATAAAAGTATTCAAGCTACGTTTTGAGCATCCAAACGAACGAACGTCGTGCTCACAAGATAATTAATCTACCAGATAATTCAGAGGCGGTCTGTTCAGCGAGTTTTACTCAAGGAGCTGCGAGGCTTTCATGCTACGTTCAAACTGAGCTCTGTTTACCAGCGACTGCTGACGTCATTACGCTCTTGCACGATGCTGCGTTCAGGACCAGAATGGAAAACTCACCACTCTTACGCCAATACGGTCGCAATGATGCGTTTAGGTACTGAAAAATGGTACCGTTTGACATTACGTGAACAGATACTCAGTAGTACAGACAGAATTTGGTTGGTACTTCGAAAAGTATCGAATTCGGTACCCATCCCTACTTGCGACATGTCCAGGGCGTAGCTTGTTCCTCGCACATCGATTGCTGGATATGGGCACCAGTAACCCTGAAAAGAAGCAGCAGGTTAAAGTAATGGATGGGTGGACTGAGATCAAAGAAAGGGATCAGCCACCACAAAGTTTGCATTGGATTTCTTTCAGTTATTGTCTCAGTTTTTATCTGACCACTTTTTTTTGCATATTTCCATTCCAAAAAGGCTTTATATGTTGTAGAATTTCACATATTACTACACTAGCCTTGCTTCTTTTTGAATGAGTTTTATTTGTAAATTAGGTGGTGGAAAGAAGGGTCCAGCAGAGTGCAGATCTGGCCCGGATTCGAGCTGATCTCATTGTGTAGCTGCACGTCTTGATGGGGAAATTTGATGACAGTCTTCACTGTGTCAGAAGGATTTCCCCCACTCTCAGTTGTGCGACTTTGTTGGGGAAAACTTGGAAGTTCTTGTTTGCAATGTGGGGTGTTGTCTACCAGGAGAGCAAAAATGGCAGAAGTGTTTAGAAATACTGACTACATTAAATCTGCTGCTGATGGGTTAGAGGCGAGAAATTTTTAAGAATCTACAAAAGTCCTTTTGTTTTCTACTCAGCTAAGGACTGTCATGTCTGAGAATATGCACCGTTTAGCCTAAACAAATACATGTATCAAGAAAAAAAAGTGAGGATGCAGAGGGGACACAAAACCTAGAAGAGCAAATGAAAGTTGAGATTCTATACCTCTGTCACCCAGAAGAGCAAAAGGATTGTGCCAGTCCCACGCCACCACGTGCCATACCTCTGACAGACCCTCTGGTGTAGTGGGACAGACCGGGTCGACTCAGACCTGCACCGGACTGGCCAGGGGACAGGAAGATCTGGCCACCATTACCCATTGAGTAGTTTGACTGATATACTTGAGAAAAACAAAGATCAAGAGGCAAAAAAAAAATTAAAAAATATCTCCATCATGGGCCGCTTGATAAAAATCTTTACATACCCAGCGAGGGCTCATCATCTGATGGGGCAAACTCTGGTGGTGTCTGGGTGCTGACAGTTATGTAAGGGGATCCAGAAGAAATGGCAGGATTTGACTTGTAGAACATTTCCCCAGTTTGGGATAAAGCAGTAGTCACCCTAAAGACCTACAAAAAGCAGGAAATTACAATCATTAAAACAAAAAAATCATGGTCCCACTCAAAACATTTCAACTGTAATAATAAAGTTTATTGGTTTTATGAAAACATTTTGAGACATGAAAAACTGATTGGTGAGGATTTGTGTGTGAGGCGGTCCTCTGACTATAAGATGTGTTGCCAATCTCATCCCAGGATCTTCACATGAAGAAAAGATGAGTTTGGATCAGTGTTGTGTTTGACTGCCATTTTAACTTTAGTCTTAGTCTTTTGAACAAAAATACTTCTTAGTTTTAGTCATTTCTATATTCAACGGTTTTAGACGAGTTTTAGTCGACGAAAGCTTAAAAAACTGTTTAGTTTTAGTCTTAAAAAAGACAACATATTAAGCCTGAAACATACTCGCTCCGATGCCGACGGGTTGACACGCAGTCATGTGGTTGATCGCAGTCGTTTTTGCAGACTTTTCATAGTCACTGCGCGCTGAGCTCGGGGAAACCCCCCTCCCACTGAACCATACGTCACTGCATGGAATTTCCCCCTGCAGCAGCCGACAATCATTGCAAAAAAAAAAAAAGATGTCACTAACCCGACGTATTTATCCACATCTGTTCTGGTTTAGCTCCACAGTTTTTATCAGTCAGATTCCTCCGTGCACAACGTCTGTTTTATCTCCATTCATGAGTTTTTCAGGTTTTGACTATCTTTATAAAACTCTACTTCCTGGTGTCGGCTCTGGGAGCGAGCCCCCCCCCCCCTTTTTTTTTTTTCTTTTTATTTTTACGAGTGCAGCAGCACAAACAAACAAGCCATAAGTTTTTCACGGTTTGACTATCTTATAAAACTCTGCTTTCTAGTCTGGGAACGAGTCGTTCCCCCCCCCCCAGCGCAGCACAAACAAAGACGCCCACGAATTTCAGACCAATCACACATTACCGTCGACACGGGAGGGGGGTGCCAGCGGGTTGTGCCAAAAGGGGCTGTCGACACGACGCTGCAAAGCCCGGTGACGTAATTTTCGTCATTAAACTGCGACAACCCGTGCCGACGTCGGCAGTTTGCAGGGAGCATGTTTTCAGCTTTAGTCTTTACAAATTAATTTGAATAATTTGTGTTAACATTTGTGAATTTGTGTTACTCTAAAAATGCCCAAAACTAAAACATTCTCACTTTGTGGCTTTATTTCTCAGAATTTGCTAAAGTGCAATGAATGTACAAAAAGAGGAACACACATGTTCAACTCAAACTTGTCAGCCCGGACGACGAAGACGCATCTTATTTAAAAAAACGGACATCATGCAGTCCTAAACTTAGTTAGTAGACTATTAAACTTGTGCAAACGAGTGTTTACACGTACCAGGCTTTTATTCAGAACAGAAGCACTGACATGCGCAGTTGCTAACCCCCCTGAAAAAAAAAAGTTTTACTTTCGTCACGAACGTAAACAAACAGCTTCTGAGCTCAGAATGGACCTGCGACAGCATTTAATGGTGGAGACGTTACTCCCTGGTTAAGCTACAGGTGACGGACGGACTTATTATTTTATTTATTGATTTTTTTTTTTGCGACGCGGTGCAGGCTGTTTTCCTTCTTTACTGAATGAGAGGAGGAAATGTTCTGTGCTGCTGCTGTGTGTGTAACAGTGCTGCTGTCCCTCCCTCCACTCTGCATTCTAAATGATTGACAGACCACCGACTAACATTTTCGTCCAGTCTCGTCAATGAAAACTCAGACACGTTTCATCATGGCGGTGGCTCAGTTGGTAGAGCTGATGCCTCTCAGCAAGAAGGTCACCGGTTCAAATCCCGGTCCGGGGACCTTTCTGGGTAGAGTTTGCATGTTCTCTCCGTGCATGCRTGGGTTCTCTCCGGGTACTCCGGCTTCCTCCCACAGACCAAAAACATGACTGTTAGGTTAATTGATAACTCTAAATTGTCCCTAGGTGTGAGTGAGAGAGTGAATGGTTGTTTGTCTCGTTTGTCTCTATGTGCGGCCCTGTGATGGACTTGCGACCAGTCCAGGGTGTACCCCGCCCCTCGCACTGTGACTGCTGGATATGGGCACCAGTGACCCACGTGACCCTGAAAAGGAAGAAGCGTGTACAGAAAATGGATGGATGGACGTTTTGTCATGTCTTAGTCATCAAATAGCTATGTTTATTTCGTTACCGTCTCGTCAACGAAAACAACACTGTTATTATATTATTAATTAATATAATACATAATTCCAATAATAATTAATATAACCCTGCAGACAGACTGAACTCCAGAAGTGGAGTTGTCCTAATTCCTACAACACATTTCTGACTTGTGAGGGTCTTTGTTCCAAGGTTTCGACTGAGGAAGTGGTCAGTATTATTGTTATAAATAAATTAGAAAGAAAAAAAGAAAAACAAAGAAGGAAAACAAAGAAAGAAAGAATTAAATAAATAAATAATATTCTAGAAGAGCTAAGAAAACTTAAGTGAATAGAGTCCCAAACAGTTTTAAAGAACTTACAGACTGAATGTTCTGAAACTCTGAAGAGGTGAAGGTCCGCCTGGTGGGAGGGGTGGTAAAAGTCTCTGCCTGGGGTAGGGTGGTGGTACTCAACCTTCCCCCATTACAGGGAGAATTTTTCACTGGATCAGCTGCTGGCTTCTTGACAAAAAAAATAAAAAAATAAAATAACGGAATTTATTTTCATCATAATCATCATCATCCTCAGATTTATTTACACAATGAGAGCTCTTCTCTTCCAGAGCAGCTGTGATGGATTTCCGATGATAGAGTGGTGGAGAGGAAAAGGTTCTGTCAGCCGACTGAGGAGACTCCTGCAGAGATCAAATCAAACAAAAACACCTCCGTCAGAGAAGCAGTGAATCAGACGTTGCTTTAACAGCCACATGTTGCCTTTTACTTGATCCAGGTTCTTTGAGGAAAGGTCCAAGTCGCTGCTCTGCAGATTCTGATCCCCTTTGGTCAAACAGACTTTCTGCTCCAGAAGCCTGGGAGGCAGTGGGGTTGACTGAATATGGAAAATGAGTGAAATAAAAATAATTGCTCTTAAGTTGCAAGTCAGCCATCACAGGAGACCAGGCAAAAACCTTTTTTTTTTTTTTTATATTTATTAATCTACACAAACAGTAAAACATGTTCACACACAAAGCAGAACAGAAGCAGAAACTTCAAACATGAATACAAATTTATAATTTTGGTAAATATTTAAAATAAAGTCTTACTTGCATTGTTTTGGGCAGGATGTCCAGGCTTCCTACACCTTCATGGGCTTGTTGGATTAGGTAAAAAAATACAATAAAATCATTAAAAACATACTAAAAAATATCTATAAAAAAAAATCAAGAAACTCAATAAGTAAATGAAAAAAGATTCAGTTTGAAAATGTCCCACCCACAGAAGTGCAAAAAATATTGCTTGCAGCAGCACATGAATACCATCCTAACCAGTTAGATTAACATCTAGCCAAACCAATATACAGTGGGGAAAATAAGTATTTAGTCAGTCACCAATTGTGCAAGTTCTCCCACTTAAAAAGATGAGAGAGGCCTGTAATTGAC